AGGAAGAAGTTATTGAACTGGTACATTGTGGAACTCGGGACCAGGTGGCAGATGTGATGACAAAGGCTCTGAAACTCGAGAGTTTTGAGTTAATGAGGAGCAGGCTGGGTGTGGTTGAAGTGGCAGAAGGTTGAAGATGAAGATGGAGTGAACTGAAGCTTGCTGACCAGCTTCAGTTCAGGGGAGGCCATGTCAGCAAGGGTTTGAATAAAGTAGCAGTTACATTGCTACTGTTGAGTCGCTGCTGAGTCGTTTTGGTTAAATACATTTTAGTCACTTTGTTTGTGTCTTGAGTCAATTAAGTCCAGTCGAGTTGTTAGAGGATCTGATTGCTTTGGAGTCAAGTTAGCAGTATTGTTAGCAGTGTTAGTTAGTGGGTTAGCAGAGATCAAGGGAAGTGGAGTCAAGGGGATTAGTTGGTTAGTAATGGCGAGATTGCAGAACAAGCTCTCTTGTATTTATACTTTGCTTTGATTATCAATAAAACTCATCAGTTGCCCCTTACAAAGTTCACAATGTAAAGAGGTCGAAGACGAAGGAAAATCGGCAAAGTGCGAAGGAGCTTGAGGTGGCGGAGCTCCCACGGGTTGTGGGCCACATCAGCTAATCCTTCAGCGAGGGAAACCGGCAAGCATATGGAACGCAGACCAGCAACTGACACGCAAATATGTTCTTGGAGATTTTGAACGAGGGAAGAAGAAGAAGCTTGTTGTTTGTTCGTATGAGATTGAGATTCAATTCAATCCCACATATACTTGTGTTATTGTTTATTGCAGGAATGAAGAAGAAGATAGAAGGAGTGGAAATCAGAATGGTGGAGGCAGTGTCGGGGACGCGGTGAAGCACGTCGGTGATGGGTCTCGCAGAGCAGCAAAGTTGATTTTTTGTTTTTCTTTTAAATTTTTTTAAGTTTTAATTTTTTTAAGTAAATATGATGTGTTGTCTACGTGCCATTTGATGATGAAGTGTCACTGATGTGTACGCTGATTTGGCGTCCTAGTCAGCGTATCACTAACAGAACTGACGAAGTTTCTAACACCGTTAAAGTTTATAACGTAAATGGCTAGATTCGTCACACTATCATCCAATTTTTGGGCTATTTTGTGTTTTTCGATAGTTATGACTATATTTGTCAAAAACGTGAAAATTATGACTATACAAGTGTATTTTAAAAAAAAATTAACGATATAGTATTTAACATGATTTAACCACAAGAACCATTTCATATTGTTAACATGGTTTATCAATTCTAAAATATGATACTCGATATTCACGATCCGACCCGGCGGTAGAGTAGTTTCCGTCCGACCTAGCCGCCTTTGGTGGGCTTGCCTTCCCCAGACAACAAAAATGCAGGGCACGGAGGGATCCAGCAAATAATCAAACGCCTTACCTCACCTTCCCAAAAAGAAAGGGGCCACGAAGAACATTATCTTGGACTGCTGTGGGAAGCGGCGAACTCAAATGGGAAGCCCCGCCGTCCACAAACATCGACACGTGGAAAGTGATTAACGATAAACATGCCGATTGCCACGTCTGCAGATGAAGGCTGCTACTTTCATGCCACGTAGATCAGATGGAAAGGTAAAAAGTAAAGAAAGCCACCGTCAAATCAATGGCCACGAATGGCTGATTGATTAGCTCAGCGAAAGTTCAAACAACAAGATAAGAGAGAGCCTTGGATCGAATAAGGAAGGCTGACCTTTGAAATTGAAAACCTCACCCAAATCCAACCATTTGGGCCTAGTGGCGGGTTGGTTGGTTTGGATAGCTATCTGACTGTTGCGACCAATTTTTTTTAGTCTCCAAATCTGTCAAGCTAGGCATAGGCAGAGGGAGCGGAGCCTCCACGACCCATTTCAATTTCCACATCATATGTTGATGGTAGAGAAGAGATTAGGCGGCTGCTGGCTCTTTTTTGGCAGGTTAGAGTAGATAGTGACTGGAATCAAGATTTGAACCCAAGTATGTCTTTTTAAATATATATATATATATATTTAATACTTCTACGTAAAATAAATATCTTAATAATTTATTGATATATGAAGAAATAACCAACGAATATAGTTATTGTTCATAAATAACCACACCGCTATTTTATATATAAAAAAAGAAATGAAATACATTTGTTGTCTACACTTTTAAAATCAAAATAAACTCATGTTATATATGTTCAAATTAGCTATTTGCCACATAAGTTTTTTCCTTCATATACTTTCGAAATTTTATTCTGAAACAAAAAAAACAGAGAGCCAAAACTCCATATCTATTCTTTAGTTGAAGCATATTAGCATACACAGGGAAGTGGGAGGAAAATCTCATTCCCATACCATATTGTCCAAGGAGTAGAGACTAGCCAACTAGGGTGAGAGCCAGCCAATAAATTATTGGAGGTTGTTACTTCAAGAAACAAGACAGTCTTCATGGTTTTGGCCTTTGGGGCAGTGGGCAAAAGCGAATTAAGTAATTAAGAAAAGAGGTATGGATTTATTCAAAAGGGGAATTCATGAAAAATTAATTTTATTTTTTATTTCCGAGTGATATCAAGAGAACATAAAAGTTATACAAACAAAACTAAACAGGAATCCCCCTCAAGCGACACTCTAGTGAAGCCATCCAATAAAGTCGAAAGACTCTAACTCTAAGACAGACAAAAGCACTACTTTACGCGCCACTCTACAGGCAACACTGTTGGCGGCTATAGGAACTGCCCTAAACTCTATACAAACTAACAAAGAGTCTAGGATCTAACGACAGTCCCGAAGCACCGGACCTCCAAAGGAATCTTCTAGGACACCTTGTCGAATTTGGTTGATGACCACATTGGAATCACCGATTGCCAGCACCACATGCCTGTCTGACTCGCGGATAACAAGACCAGATGAGCACCCTTAGTCACGAACAGCTGCATCGAAGTTGATCTTCAAATAGTCGTCTGATGGAGGCTCCCAAGTGGTTGGAGGAGGATTTGGAAGGAGCTATCTAGGGGTGGAGGAGGGGGTGAATATTGGAAACTTCAAGGACCTGGTTGTAGAATTTTCTGACGAGGGAACGAACATGAGGTTGGTAGAATTCAAAAGTCACTTTATTTCTAGACTTCCAGATTCTCCAAAGTAAACTTACGCATTGGAGAATGCAGAATGGGGAGATCTAAGAGATCATGACATGTCGCCACCATAGACTAAAACTAACAGTCGGGGAAGAATCAATGATCGAAGTTGCTCAATCCCACTAAGGTCCACAACTTGGTGGCTAGGGGTCATATGAAGAAAGAGTGTTCAATTCTCTTTTGATATCGCCGGCACAAGGGGCATCGATTGAGGTAGTTTAACTCCACGGGTTTGTAGGGCAACCATAATGAGAAGAATGACCTTGAGGCATTGTCATATGAAGAATTTAAGTTTAGGTGGGACATGGATATTCCAAGTCTTTTTCTAAATGGAGGGTCAATAATATGGACTATCGATTTTCGACTTGAAACCAGAGCTAGGTGATAGCCCGATTTTGACTCCCGCTCCATACCCATACTCATACCCGCCCATCCAAGAAAATTTCTTCACATATAAAAAATATGTGAATAATTTTGTAACCTATCAATGATAATGAAGGTAATTCGAGAAAATAAATAGTAGAAATGCAATTGAGTGGCCACCCTAATCAAAATCTAATTCATTTCCCTCAATTCTCCCTTCACTCTTTCACTTTCCCCTTGTCAACAAGATTATGTTAGTTAATTATTACTTAGTAGAAGTATTAGAGTTCAAGCATATAATTTGGAAACTATTGTACACTATATTATGTATAAATATATGTTTTTTCTATCACATTCTTTGATAGTATTGGGATTTGAAATCACTAAATTTATCAATGGATAAAAGTTGGAGTACAACATTGAGTTTCTTACAAAATAAAAAAATGAAATTAATGTAAATATTTTATTTGAATGGTTGATAACATCAATATCAATTTCTTCATACTGTAGTAAATGATTAATCCAAGGTTGGAGTTGGTAATTATAAGTTAAAGACAAGGATTGAAATACCGTACCGGAAGTCTTACCGAAAAAGTCAGCAGAAAGATATTTTATGCTAAAATCATGATTTAACTATGATTACTGTATTTTAATCCTTATTAAAGACACAATGAGATTGGTAATAGTTTATAGATATCATTTTCCACTATGGTGACAGTGGAATCTGAACTAGATTATTCGTCTCGGAAGTGAAGAAGGTGATGCAAAATGCACAGAATTTGATAGGCATATTGGAAAATGAGAGCTTATGATTTTCTGGAATGAAGATGTTAAATGCACTAAAAACCAAACCAAACAAATGACAACAGCTGAGGAAGGAAGGGAACAAAAGCGATAACAGAAGAGGAAAAAGGTGATTGACAGACGAGCAGTGATGTTAGCCTATACACTCCGTCCACCAATATTACGGAAAGGATCGAAGACCCATCGCCACCATCAATTATATACTTGTTTTCCCCCCACATTTGAAGGGTCTAGCAAGAGACTACAAGGATGAAGTGATAGGACGACTAACACAAATAGAAGATAGTTACGCGCTTTACTATTTCATTATTTCTTATGTTCATCTCGAATTTATGGATTGATCAATTATGTATGGTTTAATAATTTTCATTAATTACTAATCAAACCACATTTTTAAATGAGAAACCGAAATTCACAATTCATCATTCATTCTATATAATGTTCCTGGTCACTAGTATACATCTTACCATCCATTATAGTAATCAAAACTATGTGTGATCCTATACAAACAACAATCAAGTCTCCAATTCACTTGGTTATAAGGCAACAAGAAAAGCATCCACCAAACATGAGGATCAACCATATCAAATGCACATAGATCTTTTCCATACCAAATCCTTATCCCTGAACCATTTTCTCTCCTTGGATTCCCTCCCAAATTGATTGCCAGCTACATTGCACGAAAAGACAGACTCTAGGGATTGGATAACAATCATTCAAAATCTGTTCATCATACCTCATGAATCTGATTTCACATTCAAAATAGAGTTGCGAAGATGAATTCTCAACTTGATTGGGGAACAAACAATGCATTCGATATATCAGGACAATAAGAGAAACCTCCAACTTTTGATTGGCAAGTTATGAGCTCGAGGTACATTGATTGATTAGGGCATTTAAGAAAAGAAAAAACGTAAAGAACCCTTCTTTTCGCTATATCTAATTCATGAAGAAGCAGCTATATCCACAGTGCATCAGGAAACCAAAACAGATATCCACAGTTCCTGCATCAAATCACTCAAGAGAGAAAAAGAAAAGCCAAGGCATTCATTCCTCAGATCCCAACATGTTCTCTTCATTCGAATGGCGGCACCATTTCCAGGTCGACGACTTATGTCGCAGCTCAATATGCAGCTGCTACCCAATTCTCCACGTCTCCAGACTGCCCCCTTCCTTCACATGAGTTTCCAAGCTGCAGAGGCAGGAAAAAGAATTTAGAAGAAATGAATGCAATAAGAGCTTCAAGCAAGCGGGAAACCAGACAAGTGATCCCAGAAGAGACCATCGAGAACAGAGCATTTAAAGCAAATTTCACAACGCTATGATCAATTTGTTGTGATTTCAAGAAACCCAACTGGCATCTGAGTCTCAAAATGCCCTAGCACAAGAGAGGCACTTGAAAAGGTTTCCTCATAGTCAGTGACATTCATTCAACTGAAACATCCCAATTCACTGCCTAGCGATAGACATAGTAAACACAATAACCAGTATTTCTCAAACCCGTACAACTCTATCAGCCAGCTAGCTACACATAAACAAAGCACAAGATAATTGGCCCATAACTGATATGCCATTGCTAGACAAGATGAACAAATCCTGCCCATTGCAGCTGTCAGAACTCTGTCTAAACCCATTACAAGACAAGATCGGCAGCTCAAGATTCATCACCAGACTTAAAGTGCACCGATGAAGAAGATGAACAAAAAGCTAAAAACTCATTTTCCAATTTGAAGGTATCAGAAGCAGCTGAATCTTGGATCCTTTACAGTAGTAAGCAGCTGAATCAATAATCAGCCTCACTACGGTCAGCGAAGGAATCACAACATAGCTAAAATGAAGAGAAGAGAAGAGAACAAGATCTCGAGAGTTTCTGCTAAACCAAAAACCCCAAAAATTCTTCCAAAGCAAGCATTTCAGCGAGACAGAGGGATGGTCAGATTGAGAAGAAAGAGAGACGTACCAGGACTGTCTTTCCCAGGGGAGGGCGATGGCTCGGTAGCGTAACAGAGAAGCGAGCGGCCTAACATGGAGATCATCGAAACGATCCCGGCCACATAGAACACCATTACAAGCCCAATCACCCAGGGCATCAAAAGAAACCCAATGAAAAAGGTCAGGGATCCGCATAGCATCAGCGACAGGGAAACGCCCAGTAGCAGCGACGCGAACCCCGCCGGCGTGATCTGCGCCGCCGACAACTGCGACGACCTCCGACTGCTGGACGAAGAGGAAACAGCTGGCGGCGCAGGGGTCGGGAAGTGGTCGGAGAAGGGGATCGGCGTCGGTGGGGAACGAAGCAAGTTGAAGACCAGAGTGGATAGCTCGAAGAAAACACGCGAGTGCTGATCTTGCTGCTGCTGCCTTCTCATCATCTTCTTCTTTCTGCTAAAATTTCAAGCTCCGGGAAGGAGGAGAAGGAAAATTGGAGGGGAGGAAGATCAAAATCCAGATCCAGAAAGCGTAATCCGCCGCCCAAAGTAGAATTTTGATTGCTCAAATCGAGGCTACTGGATAAACACCGAGGAGAAGGAGAAGGAGAAGAGAAGTTTCTATTTATCTAGGGAGCTGCGTTGGATTGGTGCAGAGAGATTTCTTTCAAACTAACACCCTGCAGAACATATGGATTGTTACGATAGGCGAGAGTTTGTTTGTTTGCCAGGAAAATTTACAGACGACGAGACGAGAGCAGAGGAGAGAAGGAATTTTCTCCTCTTTTCTTTTCTTTCTTTCTTTTCTTCCGGTACAGAGAAAACAGTTGGGGGAGGAGAATTATTTTGGAAGAGTTGAGAAGAGGAGTGGTTTTATCTGTAAAAACGAGTTCTGGTGGGGCCGTTTGGAGCGTGCTGAATACGCGCTTTGGTTTTGAAGGAGGGAGTGATGACGTGGGACCTTATCCTTCGCGAGTAAAGAGGACGCCGCTAGCCAGAGCCAGTGGTAGAGCGCGTGGGTATTTGAGACGGGGGATTAAATTACGCTGCGGGAGTTGGAAATGGATAACGTAAAATGCTGTAGCGACGTGTCTCCGACTGATAAACAGATAGGCTTACAGCCTGCTGACGAAATTCTTCGTTTCAAACGGTGGATTATGATAAGTTAGTAAATTACCCTCCCACAGGAAAAACGGTGAATTGGGAACTAACTGTGGTGGTGTCATAACGAAACAAACCAACACCCGTTGTTGATGGGTAAATGAAAGATATTCAGATAAGGTCTGCGGTTTATCTAATTTGTTGTTACCGTTTTGGTAATCATAAGTCATAAATAAAGCTCGGGCGGTAAAGTGGGGGTTAAGGGGTTATTAGGAGAATATGAGTTTAAATCTATAGATTGTCAACGATTTATAGATTCTGACTTTTTGGATTGTTGAAAATAGATTTTAAAATGTTTATTGTTAGATAATTGTGATTGTTAATGTTGGGGGTACTACAATGGGATAGTCCCAAATAAAGGCTCAATGCAACTCCTTAGGGAAGAGAGATGCATCATCATAAAATAGGCTTAGTGGGTCGGGTCCAGGCGAAAAATAAGGGTGCTTGAAGACAAAACTCGTTAGGCTTCAAAGAAGTACGGATTGTCAGTGGTCCCTCCACGGGGCGCCTGACACCTGTCAGAAAGACTGACACGCTCGTCAGGGCGCCTAGTCTGACAGAAGTACGGAACATTAAATGCGATGCTTACATGAGGCTGAAATGAAGGAGGCCGGTTTAGGGTAGGGTGAGTATAAATAGTGTCGGTGGGTAGCATTTATGTAGCTTGGACTCTCTCACTAAACTGGGATCAGACACTTCTCTCTCTAGAATCCGGACTAACTTGATCTGCGGAGGATTACTGGGCCTGTGCGCCCCCTCTGTGTGTGTGTAGGTGAGATGCCTGCGGAAAGATAAGCAGGGTTCGGGAGTACGAAAGATCAGGCTCTTAAGTAAGGGTGTACATGGGTCGGGTGGTTCGGGTTTAGCTATTTTAATCACCCGACCCATGGACTACGGTTTGGAAAATATTAAACCCAAACCCGCCCAAAAAAATTAAAATCATATGGTTTGTTTCTAATTGGGTTGGATCTGGTTGGCGATATTTTTAAGTAAAAATCCAATCCAACCAAACACAAAATATGTAATTATTCTACACCATAAAAATATTTTATAAATAATTAAAATTTCAAATGAGTAAACCGAGGTGAAAGCTATCAAAATTCACAAATGTTGTTTTAATTTTAATTAAATGTGATTTATTTCAACATATGTCTAGTTTGTTTCACGATATTTGTTGAAATAGGCTAAAAATGTTGTAAACGAACGCATAAATAATATATTATTCTATTAAAATTGTACCAAAGAAAAAGAATTACGTGAATCATAGCAATATTAAATCTATCCCTAAAATTTAAGCCGAAGAATGCATTAAATTAGAGAGACCACGAGAGTAAACATCAAAATTTCTTAATTTTCTCATAAGTATTTCTATATGCGACATAAATATTTTTTGAATACGAACTCATACCAATAGTTGGGACACGATTTGGATCGGGGTTCTACGGGTTGTGCAATCCAAAATCCAAACCCAACCCAAAAGAAGCGGGTTATACAAAAGAAAACCTTCGCCCAACCCAAAACCTTAGTTTTAGCGATAAATACGGGTGGGTTGGGTAGGGTTGGACGGGTTGGACGGTTTACAGGTGTGTTTATTCACCCCTACTCTTAAGGTATTCGGGTACAAATAATTGGACGCCAAGAAGGGGGAGCGGCCGGTAACTACGAAAATGGAAGCGCCCGGAAGTGGAGATGGGAAACAGGTTACGAGGGATCCGTCCCAAGGGTCGAGGGACCGGACGCCCGACACGACTGTGGGAGAAGGGAGTGAGTCAAGGCACCCTTATTCAGAAGGCGTCTCGATCACCAAGAGAGATATGTTCAAGATCATCGAGGACCAGGATGAAGCGATCAAAATACTCAAGCAAGGAGTGGAGGCACAGAAAAAGGGAGAGGGATTGGCCCCTAGCCCGTCGACGAGGAAAAGGGAAAATATCGCAGAGATGGAAGGGGAGTCCGGCCAGCGCAGGCGCCCCACGTCCCTGTGACATCCAAATGATCACACAAGTTCAAAATTTGAAGGGCGAAACGGGTGGACGCTCGGGCGCCTTCCCTAACACTTCACTGTTAGGCAACCCTTGACGAGGAATGTGCTGATGGAGCCGGCCGGAACTAACATACCACCACTCCCAACTTAGATGGGACGGCGGATCTTGACGACCACCTTAATGGCTACTTCACGAAGATGGAATCGTACAACAGCTCGGATGCGACTTTGTGCAAGGTGTTCCCGGGACTTTTGCAGGGATAGTGCTCGATTGGTACCATCATATCGAGGAAGGATGCATAGAGTACTTTGAACAATTTGTTGCAATGCTTTTGGTGAATTTTGCTAGTAGGAAGCATCGCACCTTGACCATAGGCGCCCTTTTCAAAATCAAGCAAAAAGAGGGAGATACCCTGAGAGAGTTCTACGAGAGGTTGATTTCAGTGATCGTGGCGGTCAAGGATGTTCAGTCGCCCGTGTTCGAGTGTTGCCTGGAAGAATGCACAACTAGAGAGGAGCTTTGCAGAGCATTGGCGAAGAGGGATGTGGTGTCGATAGAGGATATAGACCACAGGTTGCAGAAGGTGATTATGTTGGAAGCAGTGCAGTTAAAATCGCGCTTTAAAGCGTAAAATCGTACGATTTTACGTTTCTAGGGTAGGAAAACGTTTCAAATCACTAATAAAATCGTATTTTACTCAAAATCAGTCAAAAGCGTTAGTAGAATCATTAAAATCGGATAAAAGCGCGCTTTCATACCGTTTTTATCCGATTCCAAGCAAAGGAGAAAATTGTCTCCGCCAAACAAAAACGACACCATTTTGATCACTTCGGACAAAAAAAAAGGGGGGGGGGGAAGGGGTTGGATATCAGGCTGAGGTTTCCAAACCACTCTTCCGCAATCCCTAATCCTCCATCCCCAGCACTCCAGCACATTCTGCGTCGTCGCACAGCCGGCCTTCCAGTGAAGTATTCGTCGCCGCTGCAAGTCCGTAACCGCCGTCGCCACCTTCTAGTGAAGCCCTAGCCCGTCGCACTCGATAGCTCCAACTCGGCAGCACCCGTCGCACTCGTCGTCGCCTATCGCCACTCGCTGGCGCACACCATGTTAGTTTCTGTCTCTATCTTGTCCTACCCCGTTGCCACTTCACCTATGACTCCTAAATGGTGGGTAAATGCTTCCCCTTCTCAACTCTTAGTCCACCCTGAACATATAACCTAGCAGGTATTTCTACCTAAATTACAACTCACACATTCTCAATAATTTAAACCAACCCAGCAAAATGAAGGAAACTACTTATAATTTCCAATAGGCGTATAACCTACTGGTTTACCTACGTATGCTACTGCTAAATTATGTATATGTGGTGTTTCTAATTGAACCTTTGAGAAACCAAGGGCAGAATGTGAAGCTAATGTTGTGAGAATTTGGTTATTAACTGGTTTCTGGGTTACAGTTTATGTTTATGAACTTATTGTTAAGATGTTATGAATTTGCTTTAATTTGGACATGAATTGCATGTATTTATTCACTTGTCTAAACTCCATGCACTCATATTTTGCATAATACATGTCGTACTTAACAGATTTTTAACTATTATACATGATGCATAAAAAACTTACGCTTTTACGCTTTGATTCACCGCTTTTCGATTTTACCCCTTTTCCGCTTTTAGGTAGAATCGCGCTTTTGACTGCATTGGTTGGAAGATACATTGGCAGCGAGAAGGGCAGATAGGCGTCGGGTGAGGGGAGAGGAAGGTGAGGCTTCTCGAAAGCAGGCGCCCACACCGGGGCCTACATATATGTCCGCCCACTTCGCACCAGCAAGAAGGATGGAGGCAGGGCGCCCATCGCCCCGGGGAGCTGGCTCTTTCACAGAGTTTAGCGATACGCTGAAGAATGTGCTTCAATACGTCAAGGACAAAGGCTACCATGTACGTTGGCCTGGGCCAATGATGGACAGCCAAATGAGCGAAACCTAGACCGATATTGCGACTTCCACCGAGAAAGAGGGCACCATACCGCGACTGCTACCAATTAAAGATGGAATTGCAAGGCTTGGTGGATAGGGGTGTTCAAACGGATTGGTTACTGTGGTAACCATATTAACCGATAGTATTCGGTTAATTTGGTTAGGTTAAACAATTTAAATGGGTTTGGTTTGGTTAAACAATTTAGCTTATTTGGTTTATGTGGTTTGGTTTGGTTTCAAAACTGCTAACCAATGAAACAATTAGCCAATTAATTAACCTAATATACAAAATTATTTATACTTCCACCATGCAACCAACCAAAC